TGTTTCCTTTTTGTGTCATTAAGTTAACATATCTCCATCAGTTAAATTAGTCAAAACTGTGACAAAACTGTTGAGATGTCTTCTCCTTTTTCTTTTTTCTTTTCTTTATTATGTTTTGATAGTTTTCTTTTACACTTACCGTGACATGTCTTGTTCAATTTACGAGGAATCAATTAATGAACAATTGTACATATTTAAGTGTATAAAGCAAAGAATTGTTGTTCTTAAGTTCTTAAATCTCAAGTTATGAAGTAAACCATCTATCTTGGCGATGCCATTTCTTTTACCTCCTGTGCTTATAAAAATGTGTAGAATTGAACCTAATGATCTTTCGTCAATGTTATAAACAAAATATTTCAAAACTGACGAATTGGAGCACCGGTGCGTTGTTATTTTCTTAGTTAATAATAGTTAATAGTCTTTGAATATTAATATTATCTTCTTTAGAATCTCTATCTCCATTTGCATTGGAATTGAAGATAATATTTGTTTAAATTTAGAATCTGTTTCTCAATTTGCATGTATTTTCACTTTTTTTAAACAATAATAGATTAGTTAATTATGAATGTTGGTCTAGACATGAATTCCAAAAGTATTGAATTGTTTATCGACAACAATGGATTAAATTATTATCATCAACAGTAATATGTTATTGGCATTGCCTAAGACGGTGCTATTAATTTGTCATTTCCTTTGTACGCTATCATTAGAGGTTGAATTTGGTAAACTAAAATAATGATATTTGATATTCAGTATATTCATATAGATCTTAAAAATATGGGCAGAAAATACTTTCTTACCTAAAACCTTACCAAATCATCAAGTTAAAGCGATCGATTGGAACCATTTTTTTTTTCCCTTGCATACTTTTCGAATTATTAGACGTACTTTAGCTTCATCTTTTAAGCCCAAGGTTTTTTTTTTTTTTTAATCTATTTATTCATTTTTTCTAAACATTAATAAACACATAGCCTGACGGATAGAGAGTTCCAAATGTATACACACAACATCAAACTCAGTCCCATTGAGATTTGAGGTAAGAAGAAATAAGAGAAACTAGAGGATATTAATATTTATTACAACATCAAAATCCAAATGATTCTTCATAAGCTTAGCTGGCAAGAAAGGCTCGATGTTGTATACCACCTTGGGCAAATATAAAGCTTCAATAAATGGTATTTAATATTATATTATGTGTTAATTATTTGATTTATTTTAGAGAATTTGATAATGTTGGGCTGGTAGGGGGAGCCTAGTGGACCATGAGTTAAATTACGCCAACCATGATAAATTTGTAGTGCTGCTGTTGTATTAAAGATTCAGTGCATCCCACCAATAGAAATATTACATGTCAGTCAAAATTCTCTCTCCTCTGCCAATTTTTTTTTCTCTCCTCTGATGTGGAATGCTCACATTGGTAAAATGCACTGAATATAAATGCAATAGATGCACTTAAAATTTATTCGCCAATCCCATCAAATGGATCCGACACTATATTTTTTACCCTAAAATTTCAAGATATTGAATTCATGAATTCTTTCATTTATATGAATTTCACTTAATTTATTATTAGCCCATATAAGATTTTATTACACTTGAATATCTAAGATGTTGGTTCATTAGTTAGTTACTAGTTTGGTTAAAACATGAGTCTGCTTCCCAAAAAAAAAAAAAAAAAACATGAGTCGTGCTATATGAGAATTCCTTTACATATAAGCTAACGGCGCAACGTGTATATAGTATATACAACTTTTCCATTTAATTAGTCAATTTCATATATTTATTTATCATTTTGTTTCAATTCTGTCTTTAGTTCTGGCCATAAATCATTGGAATATTTCCGGTTTGGTATAAGAACAAAAATAAGGATGAAAAATTCATCAACCAACATAAGGATGAATTGATATGCATTTAAGCATAATGTCAGAGGTTTGAACTTTGAATCCTATAATAATCACTTTAAAAGGACTTTATTTATGCACTATTCCTGACTCAAAGTTTCATGAATTATTACCAGTATTATTATTATACCAAAAATAAATAAATGAATATATAAAAGACGAGCAAGTAGCGTGTCCATTCCAGTTCATTTTGTTTATTTAGAACTTCGTGGAGCCCTTATCATTTTAGAAAACGACGCAAAAACATGCGCCTACGCGTTTTAAAAAACGGGTTTGGCCCAATAATAGTCATAAATAATTGTAATTAAATAAAAGGCCCAGAGGCCTAAACACAACTGGAAAAATGAAAATAGGGAAATGCATCAAGTAGAAGCAGCATGGCCTTCTAGATACAAAATTGAAACAATCAAATCAAGCCTCAACAGTACGAAGCTGAAACAATATGTTCGGATCTTCATTTTTGTAAGCCCAATTTGTTAATGGTTTAACGTGGAACACCTATTTATTTATTGAATTATATTTATCTTATGTTGCATAAAATAAACAAGCTTCTTACATATAAAGTAAAAGTTGGTTCCACATCTATTTTTTTTCTTTTCTCTTATATGTGAGTCCCACTCGTAATTTTATGTCTATAACATGAGATAACACTTTTTTTACAACATAAGATAAATATAATTCTTATTTATTTATTTATGAGTAATATGACTCTCCCCCACATGAGGAGATTTTTTTTTTCTTATCCACATTCATCGAAAATTGCGCCTATATATTTTTTTCTTTTTTCGGGTCTCACGCTTTATTGGGCACGCAGGGGAAAAATCGTGCTGGAGAAGAGTTATATTACTCATTATTTATCACTATTATTCATGAATTTCTTGAATCTTGCATGAGTCAGTTCATATTTTTTGTAATATTTATTTGGAATTAATATTTCTCATATTGTATGAAATAAAAATTATCTCTTACATACATATAAAAATATGTGTGATCCATGTGGCGTCATATAAGATGAAAAGAGAGAAAAAAATATAGATCTCATATACTTTTATGTGTGTGTAGAAAATAACATGAAAAATATCAATCTCTATTTTTTCGAAAAAGTAATACTTCATATTGCACTTACTTATCAGAATATGAACAACAGCAGAAAAAAAAAGGATGCTAAAATTCTTTCATTCCCTTGATTTGGTCTTTGTGTTGGATTTAATTTTTATACCAACCACATATCCTTTTTCCAGCCTTTTATTTTTTCTGTAATAGTTTGGAAAAAAAAAATGTTTTTGTAGTTTGAGAAAATTGCCCTTATTCAATAGTTTGAGAGACAAAGCATGGAGAGTTTGAGATTTTACAGCTTCACTATGCATAGCAATATGAAACCAATTATGGAGGAGGTGGTGTTTGTTTGCATAGAACTGAAATAAAAATAAATGTTTACCAATGATGACAAATGGACATAAAGATTGTATCTTCAAACATTTGATTGGTTAGGATGTGAAGGAAACTAGTTTTGTTAGTGAGTTTGTTCACCTAAAGTCTTGATTCTCTTCTGATGACCACCTTCATCTACCATATCAAGGCCCGGCTGCCTTCAAAATAGGCTTAAATAGAACATTAAATGTTTTTCTTAACCAACAATAAAAATGTCCAAATTTAGATAAAATCCTTTAAGTGTTGATAATACTATTTTTAAATAAAAATATGGCATGAATATTATTTTTAACACCTTAACTTTACTAACTTTAAAAAATAGAATGAGGTGACAAAGACTAACATACATGTCATATTTTTATTAAAGAACAATACCACAACGTAATTTGTCTAAGTTTTATAAAAATAAAATAAAATAAAAAGTGCTTCTCTATAACATATCCAAGTAACTTTAACAAAGTCAACACCCCGTTGCCTAAAACTTGCAAATTAGTTGGTCAAGTGTATTACCAACATCACTTCCTTCCGATATTGATTTGGTGAGTTTTGTCGTTTTATTTAAAATCAAATAAAATGACAGACAAATTTCGTGAGCAGCAAAGTGAAATACTTCTTGTTTTTATTTTGTTTGTATTTTTATGTGTGATATAAATGGTATTTCGAAAAAAAAAAGTAACTAACTAATAGTAAAGTATGAGAATTTCATTTCATTTTATTTTTAAAAAATAGTAAGGTATATTTAACTTGTGTTACATATCTAATCAACTGAAAATTCAAAAGCGGGTAGCGGACAAATGATTTTAAGTGCTCTTCACGACTACACGTCCTCTTCAACGCTTTTATGAGTTATGACCGATTGCTAAGTGTTTTTTTTTTTTTGGAAATATTTCAATCGGTTCATCGTTTCGCAACTAATTCGACTCGGAGCGGGTCCAGGATTAAGGCTTTAAACTTCTTTCAAATGTGGTACTGGGAGAATTCGAACACATGCTCTCTCCCCATCTCTGCTCAGCTTCTATGCGTCAACTGAGCTACCACCATTTGGTATATTGCTAAGTGTTAATGCTAAGTCTTTGAACTATGTCTTCTTTCTTATCCATTTAACAAACATTTAATTAATTAATTATAATAATTTCTCCAAAAAAAAAATGTTTGTATGGATAATCTTTTTGCATTCCAAAAACTCGGAGTGGTTTTGTTGCATGACTCCACTTTGCACCAAAGATAGTTACACCCACCATTTTTCTTTCCCCGAAACCTGGCCCATCAACTTTGCATTTTAATACAAAGGCTTAATTAATTAAACCCATCTCCATTCATTCCCCATAATCATAACCTATTGTTACCGTAACTTATCATGCTTTTGCACCAAATTAATAATTGGGTTGGGTCAAATACAATTTTAAACAAAAAAACAAAAAACAAAAAACAAAAATAAATTCAAGTGCCGCTCATTTACTCATAAATCGCTTTAATTAGTTTTAAATAAGTGGCAGCAGCCGCACCACATGATTTACTGAAAAATCAAAGTTTGATTAATGAACTGAAATAATTTAATTATGGCTTTGACACGTTTGAAACGCTAAGTGCCACGATTCAGACGTGTGCAACGCTCCAGCGTATAAAATGCGCACTATAGTTGCAGCACAACAGAACGAGTGCACTTAACATAACAGTTAAAAACTGAATACGAAATCGCCGGCGGAGAAACACAACTTTCCGGTAACCAAATGGTGATGACCGGCGACGGTTATGGTATCGGAGTGGACGAATCGTATCGTTCGCTTCCGTCCCTCTACTTGACCTTCTTGTCGATCTGGTTCGTCTCTGCTTGCTCTTGGACCGCTTACACCTATAAAAGCCGCCATTTTCAGGTTCTTCGTTAATCATCTTCACTTTTGTTTAATCGACATGATTTTTTTTTTTGTATCGTTGCGTGTTGTTTGATTGTTTTGGATTTTTGATTGTTTCGTGCTTTTATACTTTGTGATTTTGAAACGGTTTCGTAACTGCTTTGTTATTGTGATGTTGTTTTGCTAGAGCAGTGGAATAAATTGCAGTGGACACTTACTTCGGTTCCGTTGATTAAAGCATTGCAGCTCATGCTATCCTTCCTCTTCTGGTAGGTTTTTGTTTTTGTGGCTTGTTGAATACTGTACTGGAATTTTTGGCGTTGAAGTTAAAGATATGTGTATTTTGGTTTTGATATTTGAATTTGGATGGCATTATCTTTCAGTAAGTTTAGACAAGGATTTGTTAGTATTAATTAATTGTTTCATAGTTATGAAGAGCAGGTAATTCTTGTCTCAGTTGATAGTTCAGGAGACAAATTAAGTGTATGTTTGGAGGCAAAGAAGGGGATACCGAATTTTTTTATTTTAAGTAAATTTTTCATTTGATTGAGAATCATTACTTTATGCTTAATAAACATTTTGTAATTCTCTATTTAGAAACAAAAATTTAACCTCCACATCTTGAGCCAAAACCTCAAAAAAGCATTGGATTTATATGTCTTTCCTCTTCTATATTCATCACTTTGTACTTGTTCGCCCAATTTTTGACTCACACTTGAATTCCTAATAATTCAATTTCCAACGCATAAGACTATATAGGAGAGTACTGTACTTTTCGGAATACTTGTCTGGATTAGGGCGTGGAAATACATAGATATATTTGTTGTAGGCACGACTATATTGATAGAATATTTGCAACTGAAGGACGACAGACACTGATGGGAAAAGGCAAATAACTTGATAAAATTGAGGTGCATTAGATGTGAGGTTGTGCAAGCCTTCTCATATGTACATGTTTGAACTTACAAGTTGTTCCATTTAGCTGAACGTATGTACCTGTTTTTATGCATAAAGGACACATGGATTAATCCTGTAGAAAGTTATTGACAGGGAGAGGGGACAGTGCTCAAATTATAAACCTGAATTTTGAAGTGTATTTGTCGAATTGCCCCTGTAATGGAGAGCTAATTACATCATAAAGCAGTTTATTATGAAAGTGGTAGTTTATGAGGTCCTGAGGGTGAGCTTTGGAGTAACGGTAAGATTGTTTCTTGTGATCGGAAGGTTGCGGAACGAGTTTGAGAGACAGCCTCTTTGCAAAAATGTAAGAATAAAGTTGTGTATAATTGACCCTCATCCTTATCCTCAAAAGTCGGTAAGCCTTGTGCACCACGAGGTTTGCCTTTTTAGTTTATGAGGTTCATTGTATATCAAAGTCAATTCCATCTTTTATTTAAGAATGATTTTTCTCATTGTAAGGTAGCCCCATATGTATAAATGAGTTTGAAGATGATTCTCCGTGCATTTTTAGTGTGAGACTGGACAAGGCTTGGCATACTTCGAAGCTTGTTTGAAACAACACATCCTAGTAGTGTGAACTTTGTAAAATTGTATTTGTTGTCTGCAAAAATTTACTTCATTGGTTTTGGTGACACCATTCTTGCAGGTATTCATGCTTCAACTTCCAGGCATGCTCTTTGTGGATGTCATTTGGGGTGTATGTAACAGGGGTGCTATTTCAGACAGCTGCTTTTGTCTCCTTTTTGCTCATTTCTCATGGTTACTGCATCATGTGTGAGCATCTTTCTTTAAATGAACGCCGTTCGACTGCCGCTCTTGCATGTGTCTTTTACTTGACTCTAGTTGGTTACAGGGCTTGTGTGCCATACTTCACTGTGAGTTTCTTACCTGGTCTATGTAATATGCAGTTTAACTGGTGAAACTGCTATTTTTGTGATTTATAATAAGAATGCATGGTTCTTTGAACTAATTAATAATTGACCAAATGTACAGGTGCTTCTGCTACTAAATTATTTTATTTCATTCTATATAATATTCCACCATATATCCCAAAACCTACTAGTATTGCGAGAACAATTGAGCATTATAGAAAATGAGGATGTTCAGGCAATGCACGATGCTGTTTATAAGAAGTACACAATGTTCAAGTAAGTGCCACACATTTGAGAAGTGTATATGAGTAATTTCTTGCCAAAAGTCAGATATATCTCTGCGCATGCAAACAAGAATTCATACTTAATTCGTCCACATGCTTTCCTTTACTTTGTGCAGGAAATTTCAGGGTGCAATGCAGATAGTAGCAATGGCAGAAACTATGGTATTTTATTTGGGTTTCATTTAGTAAATTTTCACGAACAATAATATATATAAATATCTGACTTTGAAAAGCTCATTAATTTTAGATATATATGAACATGGATGACTCTTCAGAGAATTACTGGCTTCGCTTAATGATCAGAGAATGGACACAGTTCTGCATCTTTGTGTACATTGGGTATGCTTGTCTGTGTTCCAGTGCTAGAACATTCAATTCTGTGAAATTTATAAATTTCCCTAACAAAAGAAGCACTTAGTACAAGAAAACTATTTATGATTTGCCCCCAATTATTTGTCCATTTCTAACATTAACCAGTTCTTAATCTATTCCTTTACCTACAGATGGATTTTTAGGTCACAAGATTTGGCACCACACTTCTCTGTTATGCCTTCCACAAAGTGTAAAGACGAGACTCTGGTGCCTCCCATCTATAGAATTGTAAGTTATCTATCATCGAAACTTGCAGAGGTCAAGTTGCCAATTAAATTTATTATTGAAACATACTCTCTCGGATCAGCTTAGACTGTTAGGGCTCATTCCCATATTCAAAGCAGATAATTGAAGAATTAATCTATTCTAGATTTTTTTTATAGAATATTATTCTCTTTTCTGACTACACTTTGCACCTTGGTGTGCAGGAAATGGATGCAGCAACGTTCAAAGAATTTAGTAGTCATGAATGGCACATTGGGGTGGTAAGTGTTACACATGCTCTCACATTCTTTAGTTGGACAGTTTACTAATTTAGTGGTATTCTGATTCATTCTTAAAACATTATTCCAAGCATTGAATCCTCTACAAAGACGCGCAAGTTTGTTAATTTGTATAAGATTTCGGTGACTTCTGTTATTCATTCATTTATTTATTTATTTACTGATACACTCATTATAAGTTCAAATAATTAAAATAGGTTCATCTTAATTTTTATGCCTGTGTAGCCAACTTCAACTACTCATGAAGAAAGCTCCAAAGATGAAGTTATAGTAATAATTCAGCATCCTCGTGCACAGAGACTAAGAAAGCCCGATGCTTTTTCTCATAGCGCTGACTGTTTTGTTGTGTCAGATCTCAATACAAATTCATCTTCATGCCAAATATAACAAATGAATGGGTACGATGGTTTATTTATGTTTAATTATCGCACCACCACTTCTTTTTTGCTCAGTTTAGGAACCAGGAGTTAAGGGTAAAATAGTGAGTTTTAGCTCGTTTACCACAGGGTAGTGACAGCTGCAAATATGTATCAATACATTTATCAAAGTAGTGATAAGTGTGTATATTCTTCTTGATTCCAGTGATGGTTACATTTATATTAATTAGTAATCGTGATTGTTCTCACGTAGTTAGCCTAAAATTAATGTTGTAAAGATACTCTGTCAAATATTAAAAAAAAAAAAAAAAAACTATAACATGAGATTACTATTCAAGACCTCCTACTATATTAAGAGATCATAACGTGTTTACAGTTAATTAACGATTTAAGTGAACTAGATCATCACTTACCAAAAAAAACAAAAAGTGAACTAGATCATATTATGCAATTTATTTTTGCGGACATAAAATTCTCTTTAATTGAATTAGGTGTAAACCAGTTGAATCGCAATATGTATAGTGTATATTAAAAAATAATTTAAAAATACATATTAAAATATTTTTTTAATTATTTGTTTTATTAATACAGATTTTTAGGTTGATTTTTTATTTTAAATCACAAATTAAGTCTTTATTTTTTTCCTTATTAATAATGATGTTTTAGATTTTTTTTAATTTGAATCTTAAATCAATTTTTGATTTTAATATTAAAAATTAAAAAATTTGATTTGATTTTCGTATCATATGATACACGATACATATCGTATTATATGACACAATATTGTATGTCAGATACAAATTCCTTTTCGCTATACCCCATGATACATATTGCTGCGCTTATAAATCGTATCGTGTATTGTAAGATACTAATAACTATAATATAAACTACAATTTTTTTTAACATAAGTATAAACTACAATTATAGGTTTTGAAAGTTTAGTCTCTGAAAAATAAATAATATCAATTCAATTCTTTCATAATAAAAAGGGAATGAAATTAACATCAATTTAAACCGTCAATAATAGAAACTAATATTAATACATTCTATTAAGCTTGTGGTATGTGATTAAAACAGTAATTTTGATATTATTTTTTATGATTAAGTGAAGAAATTGAGGTTACATCGTACATGTCTTAGAAGTAAAAAAAAATTATTCAAATCTTTCAAACTTCAAAGAAGAAAAATAAATAATTAAATATTGAATATAGATGAAGGTTATAATTACAATTTTTTTTTTTTTTTACAACCAATATCTTAACCGTTGATTTTCGTCCATCAACGGTTAAGATTTTCACAAATAAAATTTATTAATTAATTATTAATTTGCAATAAATCTTAACCGTTGATTGACGGAAATCAACGATCAAGATATTAATTGTAAGAGATTGTAAAGACTAATAAGTTGTAAGGATAATCTTTCTCTTGAATCTATTTTAGAAACAGTAATAAAAGTTTTTTTCTTCTTTTTTTTGAACAATAGTAATAAAAGTTAAAAGCGTAGTTAAATGAACAAGTTGTGGGCAATTTGGGAAATAAAAGAGTCACGTGCAGCAGCATCATAGTCATGGTCATGGCTGTCATTCGTTGTTTAGTTGGTAACTCACTCTTGTTCCTCCACCTGTCTTTCAAAACCTTTGTCGCGCAAAACGCTCAAGCAGATCACAAATTTTGGTTTCCAACTTTTCCCAGAATTTTTTTTCATTTTCGATTAAAACAAAGTTCCTCTTCTTATCTTCATCGATGGCATCTCGCCGGCGCATGTTGTTAAAGGTCATTATCCTCGGAGATAGTGGGTATGCTTCTACTTTTTTTTTTTTTTTTTTTTTTTTTAATTTCATGTTTTTTCTTATGAATTTAATCAACAAATGGGCGATATCATAGCATGGCCAGAGAAAAGGAAAAGGGTCGTTGCTTTTATCTTCGAAGTGTATATTTTTTAATTGAAATTTCCAATCTTTTGTTTGTTTTGCAAGCTAAAATTGGATTTTTGCTTTCAGGAACCTGGGATGTTAAGGATTAGAGGGAAAAAAAGGGAAATGATTAATAACTATGTCTTGATTTTTGAAAACATGGAATTTTTCTTATCAAAACATGCCTGTTTGATGCTATTGTATGTTTGAATTATTCACCAAGCTCTCTCTGCTGATTGGCATTTGTTTGATCTGTTTATGTTTTTTTTTTTGGCAGGGTTGGTAAAACATCACTGATGAATCAGTACGCCCAAATCTCGGATTTTTCTTTCAATTTTTTTTAATCTACTACTGGGAAGTGTTTGATGAATATCTTTTTATTTGATTTGTATTATCATGATCATTATTTTCTCTCCTTGCATATAGGTATGTGAATCGTAAGTTTAGTAATCAATATAAGGCTACCATCGGTGCGGATTTTCTTACTAAGGAAGTTCAATTTGAAGATAGGTTGTTCACATTGCAGGTGAGAGATACAAGAGCATACTATTTCTTTTTTGCATAAAATGAGGATATTGTAATGTACATTCTTTTATAATGTGTTCTCCAGTTTTGACTTAAATGACCCTGCCATTCTGCATTGAATTGAGCTATTACGATGATCAATTTCATTATCTCCTTGTATATAACCTATATCAGTTTTCACACAGCTCATGAATGTATTTTGTTCTGTAAATACTATTTTCTCAGATACACTGAATTCTTGTTACTTTTCAAATGAACGTAGCTTGAGTGTCTTTAATTCTCACAAGTAATTGAGTTTCATTATGAAGCTTAATATTCATTAATTTATAATATAAATATCTTCACTTCTTCCTCCTATATTTATAATATTTTTTCCTTGCAATTCTTTTGACATTGCAACTACATTATGGGTTTTCTTGTAATTGGTAGCTTTGTGGATTAAAATTTCTTTGCATTATCTTTCAATTTCATTTTTGTTGTGATTTTATGAAGTATGAAGCCTTTTGGCCGGTCAAGTGAAAAGGGTTACAATAAAAACAATGTCTGTATGATGTATAAAATGATGGCCATTGTGCATCATGACATCATGATATGTGACGATGGTTGGGGCAAGTGCTCGACACTTTGTACTGAATGAAAGAACAATGTTTGGTTGTTATTTTTTGCCATGATATTCATTGAATGGTTCTGTATTCTTCCATCTGTTTGAAGTATTTGGAAGAGAGATTAATCATCTAAGATTGACATGTTCTCACCGTACAAGCAGATTTGGGATACTGCTGGTCAAGAGCGGTTTCAGAGTCTTGGTGTGGCTTTCTACCGGGGTGCAGACTGCTGCGTCCTTGTTTATGATGTTAATGTCATGAAATCTTTTGACAATCTTAACCACTGGCGAGAAGAATTTCTTATTCAGGTAATTTTTTGTCATACTTTGGCTCTGTGGTAGGCATCTCTGTAACACCTTTATTAAAGAACAGCGAGAAACTCATGCAAATATTTGATTTTCAGGCTAGTCCATCTGACCCTGAAAACTTCCCATTTGTTGTCTTGGGAAACAAAATAGATGTTGATGGTGGGAATAGCCGAGTTGTAAGTTACTTCTCTCTTCATGACATAATTGCTTATTGACTGACCTTTATGAAAATTTTTGGAGTTCAATTATCTGTGGCAAATAGGCTTTCTGCTATAGTTGTGAGAAGATATGATATAAGCTACTCTCTTTCTTATATACATTCAATTATTCACCCTGTGTTGGGTGGTTAACTGTACATGTCTGCGTTCATTACAATCTATTATATTGCAGATTTCTGAGAAGAAAGCAAAGGCATGGTGTGCTTCCAAGGGAAACATACCATACTTTGAGACCTCTGCAAAAGAAGGATTTAATGTTGAAGCTGCTTTCCAGTGCATAGCAAAGAATGCACTCAAGAATGAACCTGAAGAAGAAATGTGAGTATTCCTTAGTTTTCTTTATGCATGTCATTTATTCATTAATGATTTACAATTTCTTAGTTTTAAATGTTTTAAGTGTAGCAGTTTACACTCACTCATCACAAGTATTAACTTTAGCTTATGTTTGATTATAATATCAGGTACCTGCCTGACACAATCGATGTTGGTGGCGGTGGACGACAACAGAGATCTACTGGCTGTGAATGTTAAGTAGAGAAAGTTCAGTGAACCAGCTTTGCTTGCTTGTTTGATGCCCAAAAGACAAGCTCCCCCCTCATTGATTATTAGCTAGCAAGTACTTTATTCACAATGTAAAACCAAGGACAAAAATTACATATTCTATTTTTTATCTCGCTAGTGGGTTAGATGTTCATCTTTCTTTTCTTTTTTAATCAAACTATTCCTCTTTATCTTTTATGTTTGTGTCCATTCTTCTACCTGATCAGGAAATGTATACTGAAAATTGTTCCCTGTACGGTCATGAGTTTATGACATTGAGGTTGTTAGTTTAGGCATGGCTTTAAATTGTGTATCAAATATTAAATATTGTGGTGCTTGGTGTTCCCCCACCTTCTTTTTTGACCCTGCCTCCCTTGTTTTTTATTCCCTCCTCCCTTTTTCAAAGGTTCTCATTTTAAGTTTCAATACAGAAGATTCTTAAAGGTGCTGGATATTCCTCCAGTCTGGAAAGGGCTCGTTATGGATTTCCATAAACTTAAAAAAAGACAAATTAGAAAAATACCATTTCTGTGATTGGGTGAGAAAAAATCCTTGAAACTTCATAAAATTTAGGGCTTGTTTTAAATCTGTTCTAGAAAACAGTTTTTTGATTTTCAGAAGAAAAAAAAATTCGTTTGGTAAAGCTTGTTTTGAAAACTAAAATTAAAAATTGTAGTAGATGTTTTTTTTTTAATCAAATTTAAAGAACATATTTGAGTTATTTTTGTTTTTTATTTTGGTTTTTAACTTTCAAAACAAAACAAAAAAAAATCATAAAAAAACTCATATTTCTATAACTATTTTATAAAATAACTTTAAGAATAAAAAAATAAGAACGCAATCAAATAAGTTCTTAATCTGTTAGGGGTGAGATCCGTGTGATCTAGTGAGGCCGTAGTATAAATTAAAGCTCAACTATGGAGTAATGGTAGATCTCATACGAACATTGAGAATAAAGGGATATGTGGGTATGGTGATTTTGAGGTTAAAGTTTAGCAGAATAACAACAATGATAAGTAGTGTGTAAAAACTACTAAATTTCATAATATAAAAATATTTATAATTTAAATTTCAAAATCATCTTTTGAATGGTTGATATGATGTCATGTGCGAGCATATTCTTAGTGTTACAGGAGTACCTATTATGAGTACCTACTTTTTTTTATTAAAAATAAGAAAAAAAATAAAATTCAGATGCCAATAACCATAAATGAGCGGGCGAAAAAAATAAAATTAAATGTTATTTTCTTCTTTAATTTTAGTAAAGTTGCTGAATCTTCAGTATTGAAGATATTTTCGCCATGTACATTGTTCAAAAATTAATTTTGTATTTGGAAAAATATTTATCCTTTTAAAGGACATAAAATTATATTATTTTAAGTGAAAGAAAGATATAAATTAATATTTTTTATTTAAAATTTAAATTAAAAAATCACTCACTTTCTCCATTCAATGATTTTCATTGTTTGTGTCTTTCTTTCACTTAAAATGACACAATTTTATGTCCTTTAAAAGGAGAACATCAAACCCTTTTTATAATTATTCAAATTTAAAAATGTGAAGTTGAGCGATACACACGGGCCAGGTTTCGCTGAGAAAACAAACTTTTGTTGGCAGAAAAGCCCAATATCCCGAAAGCCCACAAAGGGCCCACGATGCAAATCGCCGCCTCAATCGGTGCCGAACTGAACATATTATAGGATACAGATTATGAAATTAGGGTTCAAAAATCAAAATTGGATGGAGTCCACCAAGGAACAATCCGGATTGCTGCACCAGATACTACCTCCGCGCCTAGAAGACGCAGGTCTCGAAGATCCTGCACTTCCACCGGAATCCATCCATGAAGCATTTCTCAAAGCCGCCACCGCAGTGAAATCACGCGCCGCCTCTATTTTCTCCGTCACGGACGACGAAAACGACGCAGATTGCGTCAATGATCCGTGGCCCACCGGCAATGACGCCACCGACGCCGTCGTGGGAATCGAGCTGGAAAATGAGCCGTCGGGACCCTGCACCGTCTTGAAGGGGTGCGAAGCGGTTGCCGACGAAGTCAAGGTCGGTGGCGGTGGCGTGGAGGAGGTGGTGGTGTGTGAAGGAGTGAAATTGGGGGAAGAAAGTGAAGCATGTGTGGATGAGTTGCAAGGGTTGGGTATAAAAGAGAAAGATGATGTGAAGAACGGTGGTGTTGGAGGGGAAGAAGAAGAAGAAGAAAAAGAGAAGAAACCTACCTTGGTTGAAGGCTTTGTGTGAAAAGCTAATAATATCTTTCTGTTTGTTGGGTTGGTTTTGTTCGTTCTGTTTCTGTACCCAATTGTTAATTATCCTAAATTTGTACTTTCTTCTCTATAATAGCAATATGGAGAGTCTTCTTCAAAGTTCTAAATTTTTAATGTTTTGAATTCACAGATTATCTCTGTAATTATTAATTGAGATTTTGGTGTACAACACATTTTTTGATACGGAAAACTAGTAGTTATCCAATATCCATGCACTCATCAGTATCATACTCTCTCTCTCTCTCTCTCTCTCTCTGGGAAACCAGAAGTTTAGGCCATAAACAGCAACTCAGTGCATTGAAACGATCATGTCATAGTATCAACCTAGATAGCAACACATTTCAATAGTAATTTAGAGTGCAAAGAGGAGTCAATCAATTTCAAAGTAATAACTGACTTTCATTGTCAATTGCTAGTTACACGTTAATAAATAATATACATTTGCACTAGAACTTGTAAAGATGTTATTGTAACTACTTATCATATGACAGATGCAAAACTACGGGGATGTATTGGAGTTCCCATATTATGCCTAGAATTAGTTGCACTAATGTGTGTTAGTTTTGCACCTTAATGAATTATAACCCCAATGTTTTATTAATTATGAAAGTTCCATCTGCAAAATTAGGAAACTTTTACATCATTGGCTCGGTTAGTCTTAACCATTTGGTGTATCGTTTCGAGGGGGAGGAAAAAGGAAAATTGATAGGAGGAAAAATCATCTTCTCCATAGAAATTAATGTTTCTATTGTAAAAAAAATTTCCTGTTAAAAATAAATGAATTCTATTATAAAGAGGGAAAAAAAAATTATTGTGAGTCCTACATATATTTTACTGGGCCCCACTAATTGGTTTTGTCAGCCGCCGGGGGGAGGGGGGGGGGGGGGATTTTTTTTCTCCTGTGACAAACTATTAACCCTAAAATTTGAACCTAACATAATAAATTAAGTTATTTCACAAAGTTATTCCTATACCAATATGTGCTAAAGTTCTGCCAATCCAGATTAATAATCTGATCAAGATGTCACAGGATGAATATGAACTGAATCATTCTTTACAATCGTTAAAGCTCCGATATAGATATCAAAGAGCTCTCACAATCATCAATTTCCATATTACAAATTATTGACTGATGCTAATGTAACTGAATGCAGACCAACCGATCTTACGTTGACTAAACCAAGGGAGTTAACAGTGGCTTTCCAAGGAAATGAGCCTCCAGGTTTCCAATAACAAGATCAGCCATTGCAGTTCGAGTTTCTACTGTGCCGCTTCCAACATGAGGCAACAAGACAACGTTTTCTAACCCAAATAGCTCTTCAGGAACATGAGGCTCATTTTCAAACACATCAATCCCAGCCCCACCTAAACGACCTTCAAGCAATGCTGAGACCAGCTCACGTTCATCAACATGCTTACCACGCCCAATGTTAATTAGAACACCCTTGGGACCCAGTGCATTCATGACCTCCCGATTGACGATGTGATGGGTTTCCTCTGTAAGAGGGCAAGCAACAACTAGTATATCGCAGTTGGATGCTAGCTCAACAACACTTGGATAGTACTTGTATTTTGAATCTCGTTTTTCAGTTCTAGAGTAGTAACATATTGAACAGTTAAATCCTTCAGCTCTCTTGGCAACTGCTGTGCCAATCCTTCCCAGCCCAATAATGCCAACAGTTTTCCCAGAGAACTGGAAGGAAAACACGCAAGGTGAAAATTAATTCCCTGTCGGAAAAAGATGGTGGGGGGGGGGGGGGGGGGGGGGGGGGGGGGGGGGGGGGGAATACTAAAAGAAAATAAATTAGAAGTATAAAATAGATTTTAAATTAGCATGATATGATACAGGTAAATCCTTAAGATTGAAGCTCAGTACTTCTTACAACATGATGATAGACCATTGGTGTGCAATTTCAAATTGAGTTTTTCACCGCCATTCTGAAAGTCATACAAAACTATCTAAAGAGAGGTAATGACAAAAGGATCATAAAAGAATGCTATGTTCACATTAATTGTCTATTAAGTTAGGTGTGGGATTTTCTCTAGGTGTAATAAAAAGAGCTTCTGAGATGATGAATGATGATAATAAGATAAAGACAATTGGTTCTTTGCATATGCAGAACGAAGCTAAGTAGTGAGTGCATGTGGCAGTCACCAAAGCTCACTGATTAACACTATATGTTCTTATGACAATTCTCCTCACAGTAACACAATTGTGAGCAAAGAGCAGCTATCAAAGAAACCATGGGCATGGCACGCCCATAAAAATGCATGAATATCAGACAAAACGAAACGTTTCTAATCCTCTGTATCATTAAATTCTGATTCATGCTCTTCATAAGACAACACAAAACTGATAAATGAGAAGATAAGCAACATATCCGCAGAGTGAGATACCAAAAAAGTGGTAAGTAACAGTTTCATGTATCAGATGTTCAGTGAGGAAATTGATCGAACACATGGCATCCCAAAAAAGAAAAAGAAGAAAAAAAAAGGGAATAAAAACTGTTTGTTACCTTAGTGGTCAACTTGTAATCACCTTGTTTCCATTTTCCACTTCTGACGTAGCGATCGCACTCGCAAATCCTCCTCAAGAGTGCGAGGATCAACCCGATGGTCAAGTCGGCGACATCATCGGTCAACACGTCAGGCGTGTTGGTCACGCGAATCCCTTTCTCCTTGCACTTCACCAAGTCAATCTTGTCCACGCCCACGCTGAAGCTCGACACGATCTCTAACTTCGGCAACGCATCGATCAGCTCCGCGTCGGCGCCGGCGTTCGAGCTTCCGACGACGGCGCGGATGGTGGTGGCGTGGTCGTTGAGGAGCTTGGCCTTCTGCGGGTAATCCCATACCCGGAAAAGCTTGTAGCGCTTATCCAACTCTTGTTCCAGGTAGGTTAACCCTTGGACCACAAGGAGTACACCAATGGTTCCCATTTTACCGCGAATTAGGGTTCGAGTTTCGAAAAAATGGGAGTTACAGAAGGTTCGATTGTGAGTCAACGAGAAAGCTAATGATTTTGCAGATAAGATTCTATTTAAACTCTTCACGTATCTATGTTAATATTGGAGTAAACATTTTTTTTTTACAATATTTAGGAAATTCTTTTTAGTTCCTGGTAATAAAAAAAAGACTAAATTGGTCCCTAACAGTATATAAAAAGGGCCACATTAGTAACGGATGAGTTGACATAAGGATGACCCCTTTTTTCATAATTTTAGGGACCAATTTAGTTCTTTTTTATTGTCAGAGACTAAAAAAAATTTCGTAAATATTGCCAGAGACAAAAAACAAATGTTTACTCTTAATATTATACAACTCGGACCGGTAGTTGAACCGGGTTGGTCCGAACCGGGACTTGATATTATACTTTATTTATTTTTCTTCAACACCGATATTACAATCTTAACGAACAATTATAGAAAAGGGAGAGGAACGATCAATTTCCGTTGCGATTATAATCTATTAGTATTGGAAAAAAGTAGATAAATTAGATAAAAAAATACAATAGATATAATATCCTATATTGAATAATGATAATAATTTTATTAATGCTTAACATATTAAGCGATAGAATATTACGTATATATATTTTTTTTCATACTTTACTCTGTATGCTATCTTATCCCATATACTAAATACCTTTTAATTAAGGGATGAGATGTTATGCGTAACTTGTTTCATGCCTACACCATCGTCAATCACGATTTGGTAATTCTTTGTCTAATAATGGATATCTTAGAATTCAAATTTTTGGATCGATTGCTTTTAATTGATAATTTTTATTTTTAAATTCTTATTTTTAATTTCTATTTTTAATCGCACAAAACCCATCTTTTTACTTCTTATTTTTAATTGACTTATTAATATCCTTGCAAATTTGTTGAGAGAGACGATTTAGGTTGTTCATTTTATTACAAATCATTATTTTTACAAACCTGATCAATTTAAGTGAGGTCGACGGCTCACGTCAAGTATAAATAGACCGAGCAGCCTGACTTTTTTAATAAATAGAACAAGCTAGGTTTAATAAAAGCTTGTTTAGCAAACCAAACCAAACCTACTTTAATAAGGCTTGGCTTGCAAGCCATTGAGCTAGCTTGATATATTATTATAATAAATAATATATATTTTTATTAATTTTTACTATAATAAATAAAATATAAATAATACTTTTTAGCATAAGAGATGTAATTATATGTGGACTGAGCGAGTTTTATGATTATTTTTGCTCTGACGAAGGAATACAGAATTTGTTGCATTTATAGTCTCAATATTTGGACATATGAGACTTTGAAAAAATATATATTTTATAATTATAAATAAGTCAAGTCAAGCTCAACCCAAGCCTTTAATTTTTTATGAACAAGTCAAGTCAAGCCTAAAATTTAGTTCGTACCAGTCTAATGGGTCAAGACAAGCTTTAAATATTTTTTATAGGCTTGGCTCGTTTAAGGTAAAGTTTGTCTCGCCCCAACTCATTTTCACCCCTAACAACAACTATTATTAATATTTTGTCTAATTCAATCAATTTAAATTCATGGGTGATTTAAATATTTGAATTAATTTTTTTAAGGTACCCTAAACTATCTAACAATATAATGAAAACTTGAATAATTTGGTTAAACGGTAGTTAATTATTAACTTCCTTGAAAAATTTAAGGAAATTTTTTTCACTTATGATTATCATAAGAACATAAACAATGTTTTAATTTTTATTATGGTCAATAGTTGTAAATATATATATTTATCATTTCTCAAACTGCTTAAGATAATCTTAGCTCCGATTACTAAATCATAATCGTACAAAGATGGATCAATGGAGATAAAGAAAGAGAGAAAAAGGAAATCATAACCATTCAAAGGTGAATAAATTAATATAAGGAAATAAATAAAACAGCGTAATTTTGGGATAGCCAGAGATAAATTTATCTCAAGCTGCTAGGATTTTTTTTTTCTCTCTCTCTATATATATATATATATATATATATATGAAAAAAAATATTTCTCCGGCAACTTGAGATAAGTTTATCTCCGGCCACCTTAAAACGACGTCGTTTTATTTATTTATTTTCTTATATTAATGGATTTACCTTTGAATGGTTATTATTTTCTTTTTCTCTCTCTCTTCTTTTATCACCACCATTGATCCATCTTTGTACGTTATGATTTAGTAGCCGGAGATAAAATTATTTCAAGCAGCTTGAGAAACGATAAGCCATATATATATATATATATATATATATATATATATATATATATATATATATATATATTATGCAGGAGATCTTATTTGGTGGTCCAGGATCACCATGATCCCTTCCAAAAATAAAATTGAAATGGGATTGAGAGAAAAATTATTGAAAATGAAAGAATTTAAAAATCAAATATTTTTCCAAGAGAATAAAGGACCATCAAAAGTGTTTGTGCTCCTAGAACACATTAAGGTGGTGTTTGGTTGGGGAGAAGTGAAAATTTTGATGGGTAACTGCATATGGGTATCTGTCATTACCACGTTTGGTTGAAGGTTTTCACTTGATTTTCCCATCTAAACCAGATGGCTAGCAAAGGAGGAAGAGACCAAAAATTAGAGAAGTGCACTGTTGAGAAACCCCTTTGAAGATGTGGAATTGCTATTCAAAACTGGATAAATGAAAAAGTTTTTAATCACAGACAAGTTTACCCCTGCGATTCTTATCACAAACACCTCTAATCCATGTATGTTTTTTGTGAAACAGAGGCGTCTTTTCTCTATATTCTAATAGGGAATGTTGTCTTCCTCAATTGGGAAAAAAAGTTCCTACCATCTTCTAATTCAATGGTCCATATAGCAGTGATGAACTCTTAATAATTGGGACAATCAATAAAACCAAGGTTGTTTTACGAGGATAGTTTCGTAATTTCATTAAATTTTCTCATCAATATTTTATCTTCAACCAAACACACATTCAGAAATTTAATTCAATTTTCCTGGTAAAATTTTGTCCAACCAAACAACTTTTTTAAAACTTTCCTATCTAACTCACTTTTCCTCCAGATCCCTAGTATTTACATTTCTCTAGTATTATAAAATTTCTCCCCAACCAAACACTACCTTAAGCAAAATCCCTTATGCAGAAGACGAAAAACAATCAAAACATTTGTATTCTTCTCTTCTTTCCTTAAGTTAAAAAACAGTTGTATTCTTCTGTTAGAGATTAGAATCATTGCTAACAAATAATTTATGGATACATAATTCATTATAGTAATCAATTAGCAGTTAATTATTAATTGGCGATGTTCCAATGAATTACTGACTTTTTGCACTCAATTTGAGTAAAGCAAAATTTTGTTTTTATTATTATTATTATTGGTATTTGGCAGATACAAATCCATTGATACACTCACCTGTTTCCCATCCAGAAGAAAGGCCGCATTTAAAAATCATTAAAATGACGATGTGCTATTATTTGTTGAAGATTTTGGGAGGGAAAAATGAATTTTAGGGTAGGAATTTCAATTTTAATTTCTGCATTGAACCAAATTTTCATAGGCATGTGGCTTTGGTTTTTGAATTATGTATTTTATATAATATTTTGGTTACATGGAGATACTTTACCTTTTGAAGTGAAACACATCTATTCTCACCACCAAACTGTTCATCAATTAATTTAAATTCATAGGTAATTTAAATATTGAAATTAAATTTTCTATTGTACTTTACACTATCGTATAATATAATGAGAACATGTATATTTTGGTTAATCGGTCATTAATTATTAACATTATTGGAAAATAAGGATTTTTTTAATTTATGATTCTCGTAAGAACATAAGCAATCATTAATTTTAATTGTTTTTATAATCAATAATTTAAAAAAGAAAGAAAGAATTATCTTCTGCAGAAGTGACCGAGACAAAAAAGCAGAAGAGTTGTATTCTCCTGTTAGAATCATTGCTATCACATAATTTATTGATACATAATTCATTATAGTAATTAATTATTAGTTCTTATTAATTATTGATGTTTCAATAAATTACTGAATTTTTTCTCTCAATTTGCGGACAGCAAGTTTTTCTTAGGGGGGGAAATTTCTCATTGATTATTGGTATTTGGTAGTTGCAAATCCATCGACACACTCACCGGTTTCCCATCCAAAATAAAGGCCGCAATTAAAAACACATTAAGATCGATATGCTATTATTTGTTGAAGATTTTGGGAGAAAAAACTGAATTTTTGGGTACGAATTTGAACTTCAATTTATGTATTGCACCAAATTTTCATTGGCATATGACTCTGGTTTTTGAATTATGCATGTATTTTATATAATATTATGGTGGATAGGTTATTTTGCATACTATTTTTTTTTACCTACCTTTGTCTATCATTATCCAACATCGTTACATCAGAATCTCAATACGAGAGAGATAGTAAATGTAGTTAAGATTCTGATCCAATGATGCTAGAGAGTAATAAATAAAAGTAGGCAAAAATAATGATAAATAGAACAACCTATCCAACTTGTTTTTTCCCATATCTTTGGGGGTAGTCTCGAGACTTTCTGATGATATCATTGAACTCTTGATTGTTAAATCAATCTTATAGAGTAAAAATAAGACCAAATGGTGGTAGCTCAGTTGGCGCATGGGAGCTGAGCAGGTGGGGGTGAGGGCATCTGTTCGAATCTCTCCAATATCACATTTGGGAGGGGTTTAAAGCCTTAATCCTAAATCCGCCCCGAATCGGACTAATCGCGAAGCGATGAACCGAAGGAATATTTCCAAAAATAAATAAATAAATAAGGGATTAATAAATAGGCCCAAACGCATGACAAAAAAAAATTAAAATATTACTATTTTAATAAATAATTACGAATAAGTTGCAGTTTGAATATTATTTTCGAATTTACAGTCATTCACGCTCAAGTTAGGCGTGACTCCCAAGGCATTAACGCCTAAATTAGGCGTGACTCGACTGGTGTTAACACGTGACACAAAAAATTAATAGTTTAACCGTAAAACTTTATAAGGCCATAACTTTTGACTCATGTATCCGAATGAGGTAATTCTTTTTTTGATTCCACATAACTTTTCGAGATCTACGCAATGACATCTTATTTGATATATTTTATCTCTCACAAACACAATTCAAATTTGCAACAATGATACTATAAAGATGGCACCAAGTTGGATTAACTCATTTATAAATAAGTTGGCACCAAATTTCTTATTAAATACGAAACGCAATCAGTTCCTATTAAATACAAAACGCAATCAACTCCTATAACATTAAATTCAAATTACCTCCAGCAAATTTATTTGAATTGGCGACAATCTATAACCAACTCATAAAATTATAACGCAATCAGCTCCTATTAAATACAAAACACAATCAACTCATATTAAATACAAAATGCAATCAACTTATTAGAGGTTATTTGAATTTTGAATTTAATGTTATAGCACCATTATTGGGCTTGAATGAGTGCAATATTTTCGTAATTAGGTTCAAAACGCCAACTTATTTGTTTTTCTTATTAATAATATTTTTTAATTTTTTTTGCTAATACACTATATAATACAATTGTTGCAAATTTGAATTATGTTTGTGAGAGATAAAATATATCAAATAAGATGTCATTGCGTAGATCTCGAAAAGTTATGTGGAATCAAAAAAAGAATTACCTCATTCGGATACCCGAGTCAAAATTTATAGCTTTCCAGAATTTTACGGTTCGTAAGTTGATTTTTTTTTGCAACGTGTCAACACCAGATGATTCACGCCTAAATTAAGCGTAAATGTCTTGGGAGTCACGCCTAATTTGGGCATGAATAGTCACGCCCAATTTGGACATGAATGAGTGCAATAGATCCGTAGATAATTTCGAAACAGCTATATATTCATAATTATTTATTAAAATAGTAATATTTTAATTTTTTTTGCCCTAAAAGCATACATATTAAATACTCCATAGTTTGAATCCAACAAAGACATAGCGATAAATCATAAGGAAATAACTTCAAATGGACTTTTTTTTCACTATATAACATTTCAAACTAACAAAAGAGAAGTTCTGGAATGGCCAAAAAATAAAAAAATAAAATTCTGCAATGACAGGGTGGAAAATTTATAGCACCCATTATGGTCATAAAATCTAATAAAAGACTAAGGTATGTGTTGGCGGCATCATAACAAAAAACGGAAAGCCTATAATTTGGTAATCGTGAAGATTTTGGACATCAGAAGCAGTAAAATAGTTGTACATGAAAGTTGAAATTGCAATATCTTCATTGATTCTTATAGTGTGATGCATCTGCACCGTCCAGTGATGGAAGGGAAGAAAGTGAGGTGTGTTAATGTAAATTGCGTAGGCATGTATGTCTGTCTTTCCTCGTCTTTAGCTACCTTTGACCTTCAAATTAGAACCTCAACCATCCAATTTCCCACATCATTAAGAAACAGATTCCTCGCTAACATTAAAAATAAAAATAATAATGCAAATTTTGTTTCTCGAAATCTTAAACCCATGTCATTTGTTACAACATGCACCCCACGTTCAATGAACCCAGCTCAAAAAAGGGAAAAAAAAAATAAAAAATTAACAAAATATTCTATCAAATAATAACCTCCAACCTTTTTGCAAACTCAAAATCTCCTAAAAAAACCATCTTCCATTTCATTTGCAACTCTGGCTTCTCTCATCATGCTATTTTCCTTATCTCCCTTGACATAGAAGTAACAAACTTAGTTTTCCTTCTTTCCCGCTCCATGTTTTGTTCTTGTTAGTTCATCCCTTGAGGAATTTTTCCTTTAGAAAATATAAATTACAAAATAAAATAAAGGAAAAAAAAATGGTTCGGGAACTGGAACAAGAGCAGGAAAGTTACAGGTCCAAACTATTCCATTTCAAAGGGATGTTTGAGAACACAGGGAGGCATACAAAGAGTTTGAGCATTGAGAGTGCCAGCATATTAGATCCATCTTCTGAAGAAGAACCAGTGTCATCAAGAAGTCACGGATCAAAACCTCTAAATGATTCAAATAAGGGTCCTCCACCTCCTAAGTCAAAGTTAATAAGCACCAAGGAGGAAATTGCAGCCAAAGAAGCCAGGGAGAAGCTATTGCAAGGTAAACAATTGGTGCTAATTAGATTGTAATATACTTTCCTTTGACATGATTAAATGCAAAGTTTTTTATTTATTTTATATATGTGTTAATATTGTTTCCATGCAAAAGAGTGGAAAACAGACAGAACCAGAATGTTCTATTTGACCATAATTCACAACATATTGATTTTAAAACTCTATCCATCAATGTATTTTATTTTCAAACTCTGTGGCTGCCTTGCTTTGAATTTGTCTATAACTTCAGCATTTACGATGATTGGGTTTAATTCAGAAATGGAACAGATGAAGGAGAGATTTGCTAAACTGCTATTGGGTGAGGATATGTCTGGTGGAGGAAAGGGTGTTTCTTCAGCTTTGGCATTGTCAAATGCATTGACAAACCTAGCAGGTATTTTGACTTCTTGTTTTCTTTCTCCTTCACCTAATAAGACATGGCATTTTTTTTTTTTTTTCTATATTGCTTGAGTCATGATGGACAAACAAACATTGTGGCCTTACTTCCATTTTCAGGAGAACTTGATAGCAGAAATGTTTCAAATAATTCATTGTCAGTTTCTCTCATTCTTTTCTTACTGAGAATGCAGCTGCTGTTTTTGGTGAACAAAAGCGCCTAGAGCCAATGCCGCCAGAAAGAAAAGCAAGATGGAGAAGAGAAATTGATTGGCTTCTATCAGTTACCGATTACATTGTTGAAATGGTTCCTTCACAACAAAAATCCAAGGATGGCTCAAACATGGAGGTAACCCTCTTTCTCTCCGCTCATGTTTCTCATTCTCCCTATTATCATAATTGCTATATATGATTGAACCTCATCTTTGATTGAATAGATTATGACAACACGACAAAGAACTGATCTTCACATGAATATCCCTGCCTTAAAAAAGCTTGATACAATGCTTATTGTAAGATCACTAACCCTCCTGAGCAAAATATGATCATTATTTTTTTCTATTGGCTTCAATTGATTGTTAGTTATCTCAAACAATTGTTGGTGATGAGCAGGATAGTCTAGATAACTTCAAAGACCAAAACGAGTTCTATTATGTATCAAAAGATGCAGATGATTCAGATAAAGATAGTTCAAAGAGACAAAATGATGACAAATGGTGGTTACCTACCCCCAAGGTTCCCCCAGAGGGTTTATCTGATGCATGCAAAAGGTTTGTGCAGTATCAGAAAGATTGTGTGAATCAAGTACTTAAAGCAGCCATGGCTATAAATGCTCAAACTCTAACAGAAATGGAGATCCCTGAAAGCTATATCGAATCCCTACCCAAGGTAAGTAAAAAACAATTAGTATTTGCTTAAAAGTTAATCTTGATTAACATTCTGACATCTTTTTACACGCAATTTGAATTTTGGTTTTCTTTTCCTCTTGTACAGAATGGAAGAGCAAGTCTAGGGGACTCAATCTACCGCAGTATCACTGATGAATTTTTCGATCCCGATCAGTTCCTAGCAACCATGGACTTGTCATCAGAACATAAAATCCTAGATCTTAAGAACAGAATTGAGGCATCTATAGTGATTTGGAAGCGGAAGATGAACCAAAAAGATAGCAAATCAGCTTGGGGTTCTGCTGTGAGTATAGAAAAAAGAGAACTCTTTGAAGAGAGAGCAGAAACAATCTTACTTCTCTTAAAGCATCGTTTTCCTGGGATTCCCCAATCATCATTGGATATAAGCAAAATCCAATTCAACCGGGTAAGAGCATGTCATGTTTGCAGCTTGATTCTGCTACTCTTCAGCAGCAATGTTGCATGAATTTTTTTGTCAAGGTTGATAAGTTCTTATAATACACAAATATTATTGTATCATTATCATAATTAAGGATCACTTACCATGGCAGGATGTGGGGCAAGCTGTTCTTGAAAGCTACTCAAGAATATTGGAAAGTTTGGCCTTTACAGTGTTGTCAAGAATAGAAGATGTACTCCATGCAGATTTACTCACTCAAAATCCACCACAAGCAGGAAGAAGAAGCATTGTGAGAAACCCAGTTCCCAAGCCAGAAAAGACTCCAACTCCTAGAGAAGAGGTAGACAAGGGTGCGGAAGAAGCAGGTTCAATGACACTATCAGATTTCATGGGTTGGAGCAATGATCAAGGTGACTCAGACATTAAGAAGGACCTTTTTGCAGTTTCAGATGACCTTTGCAAAGACCTTGATAATGGAAAGCCTCAAAAACTCCCAGAAATAGTGACTGACAAGAAGGTGACCTACCTTGAGACCTTGGGAGGTATGAGAAGTCCAACTTCACGGCATTAAGCCAAAAACAGAAATGCTAAAACTTGAAAGAGGGACAGAAATGAGGAAGGAAAACAAGTATGGATGATAAGTCTGGTCTGAAGAGGACTTGTATTTTAGACTTCAATTATTTATTCTTGATCATCTATTCTTTCATTTTGTACATAGGAACGAATATAAAAAACCATCAGGTTTGAAGCATTTCAGATATGGTGTCCTCTGTTAAGAAAGATTTGAAGTCTGGCAGCTACAGAAAGCCATTTTGATGAATTCCCAGATTTCATGCCTCTCGCTGCCATTGTGCCTTAAAATACTAGATAACTCATTCGGCCTATGATGGCAGGAGAATTTGGCCTGATAAAAGAAAAAAGGTTTTGGCTGAAATACTTGTGAAATTAAAACCATTGTACTATAATATTCTCTTGGTGGTTGAATCAATTGTCACCAATTCTTCTTCCTCGAGTTATAAGCTTTTATTAAGTAGCCAATTTTTTTTAAGTAATTGTTACATGCAAATTTATAACTAAGTTGAACTTGACACGCCACTTTTTTATACATTAGTAAGTATTCTGAAAAATAAAGTTGTATTGTTTGACGTGCCATATCATGTTAAAGAGGTAATGAGGTAATCTAGGCTCTACCTTGGTGAGTTACAGTTGTATCTGGCTTTGACAAGCCTCAAATCCAAATTAAGAATTTAAGACCAACATCGCAATCAAATAGCTTATACTAATTTGTCTTTGGTTCAAATTGAAAATCAAAGCAATGCCACTCAATTATACTGAAAATAAACATCTTTGAATTAGTAGGCTGAAAGCATAATTACACATAATGAAAAGAGAGGAACTCAGGAGATGGAATTGTGATACTAATTAGATCTTGCCACGTGGACCAAGCTTTGGTGGAAGTTGTGGACCCTTCTTGATTGGTAGAATGTCACCTGAAGCTGTGGCACTGTAGTATGCAAGGGTGGAACCACCTCCTAATATCAGAAACTTGAGTAACAATCCCCTCTTTGTGAATGGAGCAGCAAATGTCTCAAAGAACTTGCTCTGCAAAATCCATATCAATGAAAATGCTATATACTTTATGTATTTTCATTCAAACTGTCAAAAGACTAGGTTGTGTTGGAAAATAAAAAGATAAAGAAAAAAATTTGGGTCTACACACAAATATATGTAATAGATTAAAATCACCATGTACTTTAAATTAAATCAAAATATACCCTTGCACTTTAAATCAATAATACAACCAATGAGGCAATACATATGTGTATACAACTATGTTAATGTTATCAAAGTAATCATTAATGAATATTAATAGATCACAGATTCCCAAATATCTATTAATTTTCCATGTTTCATACGGACCTGAAGAGGGTTGTAGGGTGAAGGTGCATCTGAACCATACAAGTCCCACTGCCCTGTAGTGTTACCAAGATCCTCCAAATCAAAGTACACACTCTTGTCACCATATTTTGCAACCACAGCACCACTCCTGTAATATTCAGTTATACTGTTTTAGTATACAACTAAAATACACATAAACCATATATATACGGAGAAAAATACAATTTGCTTGAGATATATTTTTCTCTGGCGAGTCCAAAATTATGTAATTTTTTTTTTATTTACTTATATTTATTGATTCACTTTGAATGATTATGATTTACTTTTTCTCTTTCTTTCTTTATTACTACTAATTCATTTTTTTTACGGTTATGATTTAGTGGTCGGAAACTAAACTCATATATATATATATATATATATGGAGTTTATATTTCTTTAACTGCTGTACGTGTAGTAATCAAAACTTGCCATATATATACTTGAAAGTATTAAATGCGGAGAATCATAATCATACAAAGGATGAAAGGATTAAATGTGAAGAATCATAATCATACATCTATCGTTGTTGTACGTAAAGCGATTGCAGAAATGATTGTACCTCTGTCTATGTATATATGAATGGGGGGATTTCTCTATTTCTTCTAATAGGAAGGTAAATAAGCCATGTGTTTTTAGATATTTTTATATAAACCATAGTAATGAAATTGCAATTGTTGCAAATGCATGGTACCTGAAGTTCTTGGATCTGAAACTCTGGCGAGAAGACTTGAAAGAAAGCTTAGTTCCATTAAGGGAACTTCCAGCAAGGCCATTGATTGCAGCAGCAGCTGGTGCTAAGGTTGCCATAGAAGCCATGGTGATGCTGTTCACTTCTAACTTTCTTGTTCTCTTAACTCAGTATGATGTGGCCAATGGAGCATAGCTATTTTGGTTTTTGATATTTTGCTTTGATCTCATGTTGCCACGTGGCTAGCTACATTTACTTGAGCAGATTCGGAAATTTTATTAGCAGGTGACACGTGGCTTGAAGATAGATAAGCTTATCCACTTCTGAACTTAATTCTAGCCTATAACAACAAGCGTTACATGAACTATTAATATTTTATACAAAAAAATGTGATAATAACTTCGCAATTTCCTGTGTTATATTATTTTTTAATATTATAGAACTATGTCTAATTAGTGTTAGACTACTGAGCAAGTCTTTATAAATACCTTAGCCCCAACGTAAGTAACCTTACGTTTGACCATACTAAAAAGGTTAAATAATTTATTGACTTGAACACCGTCTAACCATAATAAAAAATAATAAGTTAAATTTGATATCAATTTATTTAAATGAATAGAGTGATTTTTAAGAGTAAAACTTATACTTAATAATATTGCATAATACTTTTAATAAAAAATATTTGAAAATAATTTAAATAATTTAGTTATATAAATATTGAAAGATTATTTAAGAATAAAATTATTTTGATTTTATATGAAATGATACTGTCGGATAAGAATATGTAAAAGGATATTGTCTTGATTAATTTAAAGAAATAAAATTACAAACTAATAAGAAATATGTATAAACAATGGGTTCGCTTTTCTGCAAGATAAGTTATCCGCCGTAAGTCCAATACGACGTCATTTTGGGACGAAAATCACGGTGTTTTTATAATTAATTTGAATTTATTTTAGGGATATAATAGTCTTTATACTTATAATTTTTTAAGATTTCAATATATCTGCATTAACTGCAGAAATATTTTTCCCATAAACAATAATATAAAAAATATAAATAAAAATGAATTTGAGTTTGAACTTATTAAAGTGCAGTTAAGGAAATAAGGATTAATAGTAATCATAAAGAAATATTGATAAGCAAAAGGGAGTAATTGACAGTAATATTAACAATAAGCATCTGCAATTTGCAGAGAAATATTTTTTTTATTTCCATCTCTAATATATATATATATATATGTATGTATATATATATAGGCTTTAATGTTTCTAAAGTGAACGTAGATAAGTTATCTACATTCGATCTCAAAACGACATCGTTTTGGATTGAAAAATTAAAAAAATATAATGAAAAATACTATCATAACCCTGAAATAAATTATAAATTTATAATTACAAAAATTCCTTGATTTCTGCCTCAAAACAACGTCGTTTTGGGTTCACTGTTGATAAGTTATCTACATTGACTGTAGAAATATATATATATATATATATATATATATATATATATATATACATTGACATCGTTTTTTCTACAGTTACTGCAGATAAGTTATCTGCATTTATTCTCAAAACGACGTCGTTTTGGTATTGAAATCTTAAAAAATTATAAATATAAAGACAAGACTATTATAACTCTGAAATAAATTAAAATTACAAAAACATCATATTTTCGTCCCAAAACAACGTCGTATTAGACTTACTGCAGATGACTTATCTGCAATAACTGTAGAAAAAGTGAACCCTTTATATATATATATATATATATATATATATATATATATATATATTCTCTCTTTTTATCAAGAGAGAGAAAGTTTACTTTATTCTAATTTTTTGGTTAAGCATTGCCAGTTTTACTCTGCTAGTATTTTGTTTTTGGGAGTGTTTGGTTCAAGGATTTTCGTGAGATACCTATGCAATTGTAAGTAGCATTTTGTCTTCTCCACGTTTGGTTGAAGTTTTTTTAAAATTTAGCAAGCAAACTTGAATACCCATCATTTATCAATTGTGAGCAAAAATTGGTGACAAACATAAAGGAGAAATGCCACTTCTAACGTGGTATTCTTAGATGAATGGGGAAATGGATAAAAAACAACATAGATTTACAAAACTTTAATTAATTTATCGGGTAATATTTTGTCCAATCAAACAACTTTTTTCCAACTTTATCAGCAAACTCACTTTCTTACAATTTTTCCAGTAATTCTATTTGCCTAGTAAAAAAAAATTAATTTTTTTCTCTCTCTTCTTTTAATGGGTTCGAATCAAGGAAACAGTCACTGGCAAGGATTACCTCCACCCCACACTCGCTAGTCGGGTTTAACGGGGAGTGATTTTGGTGGTTTTTTCTCTCTTCTTTTAGTGGGTCTCACCAACTTTTTTTTTATGTGTTACATTTTCTCATTATTTTAATGTCTATATTATTTGTGCAGTTGAAATGTATGATCAATTATCTAGTAATGTTCAAGTATTCTAGCCTCATTTGTGTATGTGGGAAAATAATTCTTGCATGACAGAAACCGCTAACTTTTTTACTGCTGAACTGGATTCCAAGAGTCAATTTGGTATTCCTCAAAATTAACTAGAGGTGAAAAATTCAGAGATGAGTTTTTCCATATAAAATAAAGTTCATCCTTTAATTTTCATCTCCTAATTGTAAAGGAACACGAAATTCATCCCCAAGTATAAAAGGGAGTAGAAAGCCTATGACTATAGCAGCTAATCAAAGTCTAATCTATCTAATAATCTTTTATTTTTTTGACTAACTATCTTCGCATTGTAAACTTGTTCTGATATTTCTTAATGTACAAGATACAAGACTTTTGACCGATTCCACAGGCTCAGTTGATAACTTTGCTGTTGGAGAAGCATTGGCAAGGATCTGAAATGCCATTGTAAATAAAGACCCTTCTTCTGTGTATTTTTCTTCTTGCCTTGAAGTAATCACCAATGGCCTTGCTTCCATCCCATCAGGAAGAATTGAGAACCCTGATGGCATTATGGCAATATTACTAGAATCACATCCTGTCATCACAGATTGCATACCAGTTATGTCCACAGGAGCATATACTACCATTGACTCATAATCATTTGTGCAGCTATCTTGGAGTATCCACGTACTGTTGTTTTCTTTTGATTCTATTTTCTGAAAAAATGAGAAGAATCAGATATAAGAACCATGTTTTCAATGCATTTTTGCTTTTAATTCATTGTTTATTGACTATTGAATCATCCACAAAAGGAGAAATTTTTTACTCCTCCTTCTATAATATTGACAAGTCAGTGCTACCCCACATACACATGTGACAATGAATTATAATTAAAATTATGTAATGACTCTCTATAGCACAGGACTAAAAATTTTTCACACAAAAGTGAGATCACAACAACATACTTGGATGTTTACAACATTGCCTCGGTCTTGTCCTTTAGCTAAATTTGCAATGGAATGCACTGACCCACCACTGAACATGATATCCCACTGTGACAATGATAATTATCAACAATCAAAACAATGGCCTTATTTTCTATAATTACTCACAAAATTGGCTATAGAGAAGTGGTGCAAAAGAGTTGTACCTCACTACGACGAGCTTCATCCCTCAAGAAATCAAAGAGAATATTAGGAGAGACAGGAAGCCATACAGAAGAAACAGCTGACAAGATAACCCCAATAGGTTCACCAGGATCATTCAAGTTCTTCCTAGAACTAATCCTTATGTCTTCTCCTGTTTTACCTGTGACTTTGTTCCATGTATGGAAGCTTGATGCTCCAACTGCATGGCAGAAATTCCATGTCATTCTTTGTGCCAACTTCAAAATGCTTTTCCTCCCAGCCAATGTGGCAACACCTGCCATTTGATGATAATCAATCTGTTAATTAAGATGTATTCAGTACTGAAGCCTCCAACAAGTAAATTGGAATTTCATTACTCACCAGTTGAATCCTTCATGGGAACATTTGTTGCCATGTAGAAAACTAAACGTTCACATTGAAGTTGCAGTGTTGTAATCCAGTGCCTTGCCCCAAAGGCTAAACCACTGTTTACAATGGCTCGATACATTGTATGAACTGTGCTCTTCTGGCATTCCAAGTGCTCCACCCAGATTACCTACAACCAAAAGCAACATTCCAAATGAAAGTGCATTCTCACAATTACAAATACATAGTTAAAAAGTTTTGTTCATACCTTGCAATGGCCATTTGACTTATCCTCAATAATGCAACCTGATGGGCGTTTTCTGCATTTCACAAGGGATGTGTCAATGTTGTCCTCTACTTTGTCTATGGATACATCAATGATTGCCCACTGTTCCTCACTTAGCTGTTTGCAGCACCTGACAAAATACACTTCTCTGGTGGGCACCATTGGAGTGAGCATTTGCAACTCAGCAAACATCTGAAGCCATTACAGCTCATGGTTAAAAGTTTTCATATCATAACAAAACCTCTTGCCTTTGTACTTTGATGGAGAAAGTCTCAATTGTCCATATCTAAGGACTTCTTCAACAGGGCATGTTTGTCTTGCTATATTCAAGTATTGAATGGGGAATAAAGCAGAGTTCTCTGCTCCCTATGCCATTGAGAGGAAAATCTTTTCTAGATACAAAGAAAGATGGAGAGAGACATTCCACCAAGAAAAGTGGCAAGAGTTTTAAATAATGTTCAATCTTTACTATATATTGTTTTAAGCTTTTTGTGTCCATATCAATACTTCCAAAGATACAAATAAATGCAGTGTCTAGAGGCAAGGAAAAAGAGAATAGCACTTACATTTCCCAACGGAAGATTAAGGCATGAGTTATAAAACCATAGTTTCTATGATAAAAATTATAATCATCATCCCCATGCAGCAAAAATTTTTTTTATCTTAAACCATATGACAATATTAGGTTGAAAATTTCGGCTCACTTTGAAAAGAAAGTACCATCCTGTTCTCGTGTGTTTCATGGTTGGACCATGGACCACTTGAGGGGGAAAAAAAAATATTATTTCAAAAACATTAGACCGAATGAATGATTCGAGACAGAAGAGAATTATTATTTTTTTGTACGTATGTGTAGTGTGTGACTACCTAACACAGCGGTTATCATCTTCCCCTTACCAATTGCACCGCACCATTCCTGTTAGAACCTTCTCCATTGCATATAACATTAACATTTGCTGCTTTTGATATTAAGCACGGAAACATTTCCTTCCATTGATTCTGCAACAAGTATATTAAAGAACAGAATTGATATTCAAAGCCTAATCAAAAAATTATAAATCATTTAAAACATTCATATGGTGCAAGATTTTAACTTAAATTTTTTATTTTTGAAATCTCTCTTGGTAAACTTACCAATGAGTCAATGACACATTATCTAACACACACACACATATATATATATATATGTTCTACCTAACTTTTTTCATGCCTACTTTTAACATAGTTAGATCAGAATTTCAACTAGCCTTTATCATTTCTCTTTCCTATTAAGATAGAGAGTGGTAAGTAAGATAGACATGAAAAAAATCTAGGTAGAATAACATATCCCTAAATATATATATATATATTTATATGTGTGTGTGAGTATCTTATACTTACCACATCTAGAAAACTTTGGACAAGCCGTGGGAGATCCATAAAAACAAACGCAGTCTCTCTTGAGGCTTCGATGAATCTCTTTGGGCTTCCACTGCATGAATATTTAACTGAGAACTCTTCAACATATTCATCATAGTTAAGTATTTCTCGACCTGTCTCAACACTACGAACCCATAACGGTTCTCCAATATTTGCCATCTTCACGAGCTCCTCCGTTGCTTGGTTTACTATCTCCATTATCCTTGACTTGTCAAGCCCAAAAATTCCATTGTAAGAATCCAAAGAGCTTCTATTCTCTTCATCATCATGGCCAGCAGAACATGAAGGAGACGTTGTCCCTGGTGGGTATTTTCCTAAAGTTGCTCGAAGCTTCTCTACCTACATATATATATATATATATATAGAATAACGTTTTCAATCTGAATTACACACATATATATATACAGGAGAAGGATATATTTATAAAAAAATTTTGCAAATTTTTGCAAATTGTACTATATATTCCCAGGAGAACATAGTGTAATTTGTAAGCAAAAAATTTGTAAATATAAGTCTCTCTCTCTATATATATATATATATATTACAATGAAATAAAAATAAAAAAATTAGTAATGTATATTTAGAGTTAGTTTTACACAAACCTCAGCTTTGAGTTTGGCATTTTCAATACGAAGTTGATTTTCTCCAGTGGAAAAGGAACCATCTACGTTAGTTGTGGCAATGCCACAGTTGGGGCAACAAGATTTGTTTGAGGTTTCTCGCATGGCCCTATTTTCATCCCTTAGTTTCTCTAGCTCTGTCTTCAACAATGAATTTTCATGGCGCTCTTGTATTGCCTGCAAAAATCAATAACATAGCATAATTTCTAAATTGCCAAGCTGCCAATAGAAAAAAATAATAATTTTTTTTTGTGTGGGGGGTTTGAAATTATATATTGTATATATACCTGCATTGTTGAGTAAAAATTAAGTAAAAAATTTAGATACCTTGATTTGGGTTCGACGATTTTGGAACCAAAACTTGACTTGCCTAGGAGCAAGGCCTAATTGCTTGCTAAGTTGTTGCCTCTGCTTTTCATCAGGATGTGGTGATTCTTTGAAAAGACTAATATAGTACACTCATGTCAGCTTTTCAACACAAGCTTCGTATTAAAGTGAGTGGTCCAACAACAAATGGAGTTTAATAATGCAACAACTCTAAAATAATACAAACTAATCAACTTAAAAGAAGTGGAAAAAAAGGGGCTTTACATTGGCATATGATAACCAATAAACCAATAAAGCAAAAGCAGTTATATTTTTTTTAAGTAAGCTTTATCTTTTTATCATATTCTTTTCATTTCGACTATATGATATAGCAAAATTATCTAATAATGCCTGCAAATTATATAAACCACCCTTTGAAGCTCCCTCACCGGTAAAGGTTGTTGGCATGCAAATTGTTTAACTTTGGAAGAAACCATTATACAAATTATATAGTACTGATTAGCTAACATCTAACATGTGATGTTGTGCACATATAAAATCATCTCAGAAAAATGTACAAGAAAATTACAATGCTCACTTCACCAATACATATTTATATGGAAGTAAGAGTAGTTAGAAAAAGGTAAGAGTTTACGTACGCTTCCATTTCTCTAATCTGTTCAGCAGTGTGCCTGTGATACTTCTTCCTTTTCTTCTTCTTCTTCTTCTTCTTCTTGTTCTTATCTCCATCCCCATCATCATCATCATCATCATTACCACCACCATCATCATCATCCTCTCCTTCAAAATAATCATCTGCACTTGATCTCAGTACTGCTCCTGAGTTCTCGCTGCTAATCTCAACGGTGGTTTCCTCTCGCCGTTCACCTCCTCTACTACCCTCATCCCCATCATCAACCTCCATGCTACCATGGCGAAATATCCCAGCCTTCAAAGAACAACCCCACACAAAATTCAATCATACCAAAAAAGCAAAAATAATAAATAAATAAAAAGTGTTTATGTTCATATAAATATATATAAGAAAAAAGGTGAGTTTTTACAAGGCTAAGTGAGAGAGCAGGAGAGGAAAACAAGTCTTTGGTGTTGTTGGACATGTCCACGCCCATTGGCAACAACGTTTGTTTGTGTTGATGATTATGTTTTTTTTTTTTTTTAAGGAGCAAAAATGGTGAAGCTAGGTTGGTGTTTTCATGGAGATAGAAAAAGGTGTGTGTATGTGTGTGTGAGACAGAGAGAGAGAGAGAGAGAGAGAGGTAGCAACTAGCAAGTGATGAATTTAAGAATATAAAAACAAAAGAGAGGAACTCGCTAAGGAATTTTTTTAATTTTTTAATTTTGGTTTTGTTTTTTAGTTGGTTAGTAAGAGAGAGAAGAAGAGGCTGGTAGGATTGACGGTTGGATATGGCTTATGATACGTTACATGAGTTTGAGACACGACCCAACTAACGTTTATGGTTTATGAGCACTTCACTTGAAATTATTATGGCTTCAACGGTTTCCATATAACACAGTTCGTTGGCAGCATCAACTCACATGTGAGTTTGTGGTTTTTTGGAACCTTAAATTCCTAGATGCCCTTTGAGTTATGAAATTTTATTTCTATTCAACTATTCTTGTTCTATTCTATTCTATTTTATTCCTAACCCTGTAATCTATATTTTAATTAATGTTATAGTACACATTAAATAGTAGGGATAAAAAAATATTTCTTATTTTAAAAACACTTTCAGTGTGATTCGGATTAAGAGAGAAAGAAAGTAAATACTGAATAGATAAAGGGTGAATGATGGCAGGATTAGAAAAATGAAAAATGAGAAATGAAACTTAAGCTTTTACTTTTGAAATGGACTCCCATCCTGTAGTTTGGCCTTTACAACTTCATCAAAAAAACAAGAGGTTAGTCAAATTCAAATCACTAATTATAATATAAATTCATGATTTTACTTTTTAAAACATAATATAATATATTTTTCATAACATTTTTTATGAAATAATTTCTCTCTCTTTACAAATTAATATGATTAACTGTTATTTTTTAATTTGAATAGGGATAAATAAGTAAATTAAATTGGTGTTCTTCCGAAAAATTTCAGTTTGAAAGAACTTAAAAAAAAAAAATACTTACGAGAGGAATTTGAAGGGTATATTTAAAAATATTTATAATAGTTAACTCTTCCCATTAATTTTGATAATACTTTAACTTTGGTGTTTTATTTTCACCTCCACTATAAAAAATTCTAGGTCCATCATTGATGTATCCGGTAACTCATATAACTAATAAATTAAAGTTGCTATATATAAATGAGATCAACTATCAAAATTGAGAATATAGCTTATATTGGTGTAAAATTAACTTGTCTCAAAATAAAAATACTCATATTCAAAATTAATGCTTATAAGATTTTATTTTATTTTATTTTGTCAATATCTGATGAACTTTTATGTACATAACAACACAATATAAGTATGTAAGTTGTTTAAATAGAATAAAAAAAGAAATTATTTTAATTATGTTTGATATGTTAAATTACTTTTTTATAATATGGAAAATTTATATAATTTTTTCTCTTTGTCCTTTTTATTTATAACTGTATTCATAATTTTAAACTCAATTTTAAGCATATATATATAAGTATTATTTAATAATATATATTTTAATAATTAATTATTTACATTAATTATATAATAATAATAATAATAATTGATATTTCTATTATTGATATCATTCTAGATTTCCAGTTTACGGGAGTTACCTATCTTAATTATGCTTAGTTAGAATTTTCAAGGACAAGTTTTTGTGATTATAACATAACTGTTGGGGTCGTATAAATGGAGAAAAATAATTTGCTTAAAGAGCCGTTTTTACTTGGGTTCAACAGCTCGTATTAATTGAAAAAACTAATAATTTGTTTTTAAAATTCTAAAATTTACTGTGGCATTAATGCATTACGTACTGTATGAGTACAAATAATATTTTTGTTCAAACTCAACGCAATATAATTTGACAAAGGATAACTTTTTTTTTACTCATAATTTAATTTTAATTATTGATTTTTGTAAATTTAACGATTATAAATTGTCAGAAAATCAACCGTTAAAATTGAATTGCAAGAAGTTTGTAAGGGAAAAAAGTTATAAATATAATTTTCTCTTAATTTACATGGAAAGGGTTATATTTATAAATTTTTTGTTTACAAACTCTTACAAATTATATTATGTGCTCCCAGAAGTACACTAGATTACACTATGTACTTCTGGGAATACATAATATAGCTTATAAAAATTTATTAAAAAAATTTGTAAACAGATCATTCCCAAAATATATATATGCAATACTAAAAAACCTCTCTTATAACTTATATGGCTATTAACTGACGAATATTTGTACGTAATAATTTGTTTTCATTCAATTAGCTAGAATGTTACTCCATTTCAGGACCAATTATCAATTATATTAGCTCAAATAGAACCAATATACGGACTAAGCATTAATATAAAATTCAAAATTATGGATACTTAATTAAAGAATTGTTTTTCTTTAAGGATCAAATCAAATTAAAATTTATAAACTTGTCGGGAAGATCAAAATGCAGTTTTAAACAAAATTTTGTCGTTTACCGTAAGCAAATTCATCATATTTGAATTAGTAAATTATTTGTTCCTTCAAGCAAAACATAATAATGAATAATTCTTTTTTTTTTTGTAAACATAATGGATAATTCTTTAATTCTACAAAATAACACACACGTCATAATTAAGGGGACCGCTTGATTTTATAATTTATATTAGTCAGGCAATCTTATAAACGAAACATATGATTTCGACTTTTATATATGCTCCTAAATTTTTCACTTAATTCATGTATATATGTGCCACTTGTAATACTAAAAAAAAAATTAATTAATTCACCTAAATTTATCACTTAATTTGTTGAAGTAGATAAATTCAGGCAGATCGATATCAGAGTGGTAGGCATGCAAAGGTCTCACCTCATTCATATATATGATATGCACCTAACATAACACTGAACGCGTACAATAGCATGGATGGGGAAAAGAATAGATAATTGTTGTTATGGACGTACAGCTCCAACTTTCAATTAGTTGGTGAATCATAGCCATAACTTATAATCATCTTGTGAATTTTCTCATTTTGTATCGTGAACACCATATTTTGTCCTATCTATTCCCCATTTTTGTTTTTTATTTTTTATTTCTTGTTCCATAAAAAAAAAATATGAGAAATGAATTAAAATTTAAAAAAAGAAGAAGGAGATAATGACAACTCATAAGTCAAGTATATCTCTTTTAAGTAGACAGCCCATGCAGCCTTGCAGTATCGAAATTTTACAAAAAAATGGAGTCAGGTCAAATAAGGAAGAAAGAAAGATGTTTGAGAAAGACTACCAAAAAAAAGAAAAAGATGTTTGAGAAAGAAACAGGAGGGGGGGAGGGAATAAACAAGCTCAATGGATGGAAAGATTGAGAATGTTTGAGAAAAAGATGTTTAAGATGAAAGATTGTGGGTATTTCATCGCGCAAAAATTGGAAGTGACATTTTCAGCTAAATGTTTGATGGCTTATTTGGTCAACCTCTCTTTGTAAGAAGACAAATTCTATCTACGTATATTGAACAAAAATAATAAGGAAGAAAATGGATGGAAATTTTTTTAAAAATATGGATCCTATTTCTTTATGAAAAGTAAAAAAATACAAAGTGTATCATTTAAAATAACATACATTTTTATCTTCTTTTATTTGAATATTATACCTTGTATTATTTTTCTTTTTTGAATTCACCGATTCCAGCTATTAGAATAGGGCATGATATTGTTAGCTTGGACTTATTCGCACTGTTATTAAAATTGGACCGATTCGGCCGGATCGATCCGAGAATTAGTAAACTGGTCATATAATCAGTCCAGTTGAAGCAATGGACCAGCCATGCATCAGAACTGGTATGATTCGGTCCGACCCGGCCGGTTTTTATGAAAACTGGTGACCCGGTCGGTTAACCGATAACCCGGCCCGTCCAAAAAAAAATTAAATTATTTATTTTTCAAAAAAAGAATCATAATGGATATATTTGAATATTTTTGTGCTTATTGATTTACATAAGTTATGTACCTACAATACTAATATTATCTCAATTATGCACTATCTAGAAAATTTTGATTTGATTTATAGTTAGAGATGTCGTTTTCTGAACCTAAAGCTCTGTATCACGATCATTATATTTTTGTTTGATCCTTTATTGGATAATAATATAGGATTTATTATTTTTTATATTAAAATATTTGAAATTTTTATCATTTTTTTATATACTTTATAGTATGTTGATATTTTTTTAATAATTATAAAATTTCATATAATTATCGGGTCATGCGATTGAACCAGTGATCCACTGATTGAACCAGTGACCTAGTACCTCGACCGGATCAACGAAGGAGTCAATTTTAATAACATTATTTATTGGACCTTTATACCATATGAGGTGAAAGAAATTAAACAAGTCATGATTAGACATTTTTAGTAGAATAGTTTCCTCCAAGTAAAAAAATAAACGAGTAAATGAATAGTACTAGATGTTCCAGGAGCGTCTTATACAGTTTTGCTTTTGTCCAGCTCGAGAACTTATCTTGAATATATACGGTTGATGTTGGAGTATAAACGTGAATCGTGTCTCTATACATGTAACTCTCTATACTAATAATAATAAGGAAAAAATGTTAATGTAGTTAGCAAATAAGTTATTTGTATTTATTCTTAAAATAATGTTATTTTGGTATTGAAATTTTAAAATATTATAAATATAAAGATTGTTATAACCCTGAAATAAATTAAAATTACAAAAATACCATAATTTCCGTCCCAAAACGACATCGTATTGGGTTTACTGCAAATAATTTATCTGCAGTAACTACAGAAAAAACGAACCTTAATAATAATAAAGGAATTCATTCATGGAATAATTTAACCGTGATGATTTATTAATTCTGCATATTTTATTTTGATTTATTTTAGCTGTGATAATTTGACGATTCAAAATTTATAATAATAAAACTTATAACATTACAATTTTTATCAAAGGGATAATTTAACCGTGATAGTTTGTTAATCTCGTGTAACACCCTCCCTTGTATGCATCCAAGAGAGTTGTTTGCTAAGCGGATTAGAGTTCTTTAATCA